AATAATGATAATAATGATAATAATGATAATAATGATGATAATAATAATAATGATAATAATAATAATGATAATTTATAACCGTCCTCTCTTCCCGTCTATAATTATATACTCTAAATAATTTAGAAATAATTAGAGTTCAAAAAAGGGTTATCGAGAATGGTTAATAATAATTATTGGAGTTTAAAGGTTCTAAATATAATATTTAAAATATAAATATATTTATAAATATATCAAATAATGATATAAATATATTTATAAATATATAAATAATAATATTTAGAAATATATAATAATATTTATTTAAATAAATATATAAATCTCGATTATCGATTCTCTAAAATAGAGAATGGCTATAAATAATTAACTATAATTACCAGATCTTCAGTATCTCGAATTCGTATGATAAGATAATTGTGAGGAAGCAAAAATGAATTGAGCTCTAAATACCATCTCCCTTTTTTCGATTATAAGTAGTCTAATAGTGATTACTTCAACATCACCAGTAACGTCTGTAGTATATCTTATTACAGTATTTCTACTAGTGGCAGCCTATCTTGTTCTTCAGAATATAGTATACCTGTCACTAGTGCTGGTGATTGTTTATGTAGGGGCTATTATAGTACTAATACTATTTGTTATTATAATAATAAATCTGCAAGATATACGTACAACTCAAAATATACCCTGGTCTCTTCAAGGGATAGCATCTCTAATGTTCATAGTAATTTTCATAAATATAGATGTAGTGCATTTCCATGCAGACTTCCTATCTATGTTTCAATATATAACTCTAAATATATCAACGAATGCCACACTAGACGGTAGCAGTTCTAATTGAATCGTTGAGAAAACTACGAATATGGTTTTTAATCCAAGTGATATGAACCTATTTGATCTAAGTCAGATTCAATCTCTAGGACTCTCACTTTATACACATTCATTTATATATATCATTATGGCCTCTTTTGTATTCCTGCTAGCAATGATCGGACCCATTGTAATTACAAGTGACAAAAGTTCTACCTCCGCACCTACGTCAGGGCCTTCTCATGAATTATAATTATTGATTCTGATTCTCTGAGAATGGTTATAAATAATTAATTCCTTAAACAAATTATAACTCATTACTTCGAGTTCCACCTCCACGAATCCAACAACAAGTTCCCCTCCACGTCGGCGGGTGTGAGAGTGTGTGTAAAAGATTAACACTCTAACGAAGGATGTGGAGGGGGGAGACCACAACAGGCTCTAAAATCCCCCTGCATTCGATCCTTAAATATCCTTTTAGCTTAATGGTCGAGCGCTGTTCTTCTAAAACATGGATTCGAGTTCGAGTCTCGAAAAGGGTGATGTTACGAATTATGAGTGCTAAAATAATAATAAGAATAATAATAAAAGTAGTAATAGTAATAATATGAATATGAATAAGAATAATAATAATAATAATAATAGTAGTAATAATAATAATAGTAATAAGAATGGGAATAGTAATGAGAATAATAATAGTAATAAGGATAGTAATAATAATGGTAAACCTTTAATAGGCAGCAGCCACACACGCATACGACCGGAATGAGGACACAAGTAATTATTTAATTCTGAGAGAATCGAGAATATGTGTAATTCTGAGAGAATCGAGGGTGCACGAGTAGACGGTACTACACGATAGTTGCAACCTATTAGTTATACGGGTTCAATTCCTGGTGTACCTTAAGATGAATAAATATAGAATATAGAATATAGAATATAGAATATAGAGTATAGAATATAGAATATAGAGTATAGAATAAAAATAACTAAAGCTGCCAAGAAAATGTCGTGAATCATAATAATGTAAGCGATGAGAAATAAAATGTGTGAATGTGGAATGTAATATATAGCCTAGTAGAGGTAATTGTAGTACTGGTGCCGATACTGCTATCAGTAGCATTTATGACGATTATTGAGAGAAAGGTAATAGCATCTATACAGCGTAGAACAGGTCCGAACGTAGTAGGGGTATATGGGGTACTACAGCCATTTTCAGACGCACTTAAGCTAATTGTGAAGGAGATTATTGTACCGCATCAAGCCAACAAGGTACTACTATTTATGGCACCGATGGTAACCCTAACCTTTTCACTACTAGGTTGAGGGGTAGTACCGATAGGTCAAGGTCTAGCACTAGCAGATCTATCGCTAGGAGTACTATATACGATAGCACTATCGTCAGTATCCCTATATGGGATTCTTTTCGCGGGGTGAGCAAGTAACTCGAAGTATGCATTCCTAGGAGGACTAAGATCAACAGCTCAGATACTGTCATATGAGCTAATTATAAGTAGTGTAATTCTGGCTATCATCATTATAAC